TATATTATTTGTATAATAGCTGATTGGTTTACCGCGGACCTCGTATAATGTGCACCTATACTGCAGGGTTTTTTTTTTTTTTTTAGTTTTACGACGTCGCGATCGATTTTGTCGAAATTGCGTAACGCCGCACACTTGTACGAAAACACAAGACGTGGATACATTACGTATAAAATATACATTTATATTTTTTTTTTTTTTTTTTTTTTTTGTCGGTCCGGAATAATTTAAGCGCCGCGGCCGTGGGGTCCGGAGAGTCCGATATAACGTAACGAAAACACATCTTCTTTTGGCCAACGGCGCGCGGCGTTTCGGTTCGAATGCGTACGTCATCAACGGGCGTCGCCGTTTTCCACCGAAACGATTCACTCCCTTTTCCACCGAAATGAACCGCTCCGTTTTCCACCAATACGCGTTTCCGCTAAAAGAAATATTGACCCGAAATACCGATGATCAGTTTTTTTTTTTTTTTCACTTTCCCCGTCACAACCTCCGGTTCCTGCATCGCAACCCCCCCCCCAATTATGCAGATTTTTCTCTGTTCGGACTACACCCACTCTTAACCTATTCAAGTGTTTTATACCATTCGTTGCGGTATCCAACGGTCTTAATTTGAAGTCGTCGGTTCGGTTTAACATTTTCCGCGACGTTCACATTCGATACCCGTCCCGGTATATGGGCTGTATCACTAAGTAAAAGGGGCCGCGTGCAGGCTCTTACCGTGCCCGGAAAACAGTCCAGCCAGAGGGCGAAAGACGCCGGCCGGCTGCAGTCAGACCGAAATCGATAAACCGTTTTCAGAAATCAACTGCGGACCCGAAACATCCCTTGAGCATGACCGGGTTCAGGGTCCATCGGCCGACACAACCGAAATACCCGCAAGTCAACCGACAAAGACAGTTTTAATAAACCGAATACAACACTAATGCAGAATCATTTTATAACCTCGAGGTGTAAGATTATTTAGTTAACTTCCCACAGATATTGAATCGACTCGGAATACATCGGAATTCAAACTAATGCCGAAAAATCCACGTATGCGGCCATTTGACTAGTGTCTCTTTTATTACTGCTGTAATTACTATTGTACGTTATTATTAACGAATTTTTTAACCGGTTCATTATTATTATTGTAATAGCTGGATTAAAGAAAATCGTATTATTGCATTACGTTAGCACAGGAATATCACTCGCGCGTAAACATAGCAAATCAGTTTTTCGTTATAAACCCCCTACTGTCAACACAAGCATTGCTTATACAGAGCGGACGTCAACTTCTAATTTAAGAAATTACTAACGCATTACGTATGCATAAATAGTGGAAATAAATAAGTAAATATAGTAGTAATTATTCATAATGTCATACAATTTATGTTTTTATTTTTGGTGTATAATAATGATAATATATTTATATATGTACGGAACCGCTTAAATCCGAAATAACCCATTGCCGTAATAAAGCGAATTACTAATTCGATAAAAAAAAAATAATAATAATAATAATAAACCAATAACAATAATATTATAAGTAAAAATAATTGTGCGCGAACAAATTAAACTACGAGTACAATTCGTTTTTTTTTTTCGCGTGTACATTATAACACCTACGTATAATAGTATAATAGTATAATTACAAAATAATTATACATCAAATTACATTTATTAGTTATAAGTATAGATAAAAAAAAAAAAGGTTTTTGTAATTTACTCGAGTAGTAATTTAATGCAATTTACGTACGTTACCTTTTCGGATTTGGGGTTTTAAATACTATCATGAATTTATTATAATTATTGAATTTTTTTGTCCTTTCTACGACCGCTATAACCGAAATACTGAGAGAAGCGGTAAAAACGTTTTTCCAGCCCTCCGATTTTAAAAAAAAAAACGAAAAATTTCATGATGTTTCGGTGCTAAATTTTGTGTTTATTATTATGTAGTAAATTAAAGCTTTTGTATTAATTTAACGAATTTAAAGAAATGTACAAGAATTGCTTTGCTTTGTAAATCATCATGCAATTCCCATAGGCCACTGTATATTTCCTCGTTATGTGTATGCCATGTAATATCCGACCGTGTCTCGTAAACGTCTCTGACCCATTTCGAAATTAACAATACCCCGAAGTTCATAATTAACTGTTTCTACATTTATGACTCGCGAAATATCGACTAATTTTACAATGTACAATTTACATGAAACATGTCTACAGTAAAAGATACCACACAGGCCGATCTCGAGTTTATATTATGTGCCGTTTAGTTAAAATTATAAATACCTCAACAAAATTATTATTAACAAATTTGTTTTCTATTTATAATCCAATACTATTCAAGAGAGACCAAACAAATTATGATCTATAATATGACGCGGAAAAAACATGAAATTATATCGTTTTTTAAATTCGGGGGGGGCGGAGAAACGTTTCTTTGACCCCTCCCCAGTTTTTCGATTATAGCGGTCGTAGGATGACCAAACAAATTCAAACAAATTCCTGGTGCTATTTAAAAACCCAAAATCCGAAAAGGGGGGGGGCAGTGTAACGTACGGATGTAATTTATATTTTATTTAAAAAATCTAGTCATAAAAAAATATTTATATTTAAGATACTAAGATACTCTATACGTGTTTTACCTTCACGATTTTTAAAAGCAATGTTCAAACGCTGTTCACGTTGTTTCATAGTATTCGTTTGATTTGGCCTCGGAGCTCCTCGAATGATATCATCCATATTTGCCTCAGTTTTACATTGCTCTTTCTGCAGCTCCGTAACAATAGCAAAACAAACCGATATGCACACTTTCTGTCACCGCATTCCATCGCCAATGCCAAGCCTCCGCGTGGTTAAAAGTTATAGGAACATCCGTATCTATAAAATAATGGTAATAGCTGATAAGGCAAACTGTACAATTAAGACTAATTGAGAACTATTAAACAAATTAAATATCAATATTTTCATAGATCGACCACAATGACGGAAGAAAAAGTGGTTGATTCCACTGGTGGTCGGTATTGCGCACTGTACGACGGATTTTACCTAATACGTAATTTCTCCCCGGACCACTGTACAGAGTTACTTGCATTTTCAGGCATAATTTCTTTTATCTCATCAGGAATTTCCTCCGGAGGCAAATATGCAAGAGCCATCGTTTGCCGAACTTTAATATTGAAATCTTCGTTATTTCCATACTCAATGGACAGGCCAAAACCATGTAATTTTCGCCAAGCACAATAAACAACCTTTATTTTTGGATAACGGGAATTCACGTTTATTGCAGCCAACTCAATGTTCACTTATTATGTATTCAGGTGTTGAGTTAATACCATTGTTTTCAACGAAATCAATTGTGTACTAAAGAAAAAATAATTTAATATTATATATTATTTCATTATAAAAGTATTTTGTCTTCGCTTAAATACAAAACGAAATAAAATTAATATCGCATAATTATTATGTGAAACACTTAACAAACCTACTATTGATTGTTTAACGGGAAATGGATACTGAGATAATGTTTTTTTCAGTTCATTAAGTATATTGAGATCTTCGATTGAAGTCGGTTTTGTATTATGGTGACGAGTAACACGCATACGCTTTGTTTTCTTCCGTTGCGCTTCATTACTGGGAAGATGAGGTATTATATTCACCGAAACATCGGATTGTGAATTTGTGGATTGTATTTTTAACGGTTTATTTGTTGTGGACATTGCTGCGCCTTAAAATTATTATAATTCGAACCTTTATTGATAAGCAAACAATAAATTATAAATTATTTAATTTGTTGTTTACCTTTTAATATAAAACACCGGCACGACTAGCTTCCCGGAACCGGATTATGTGCTTTACCGGATCTCAACTCATGTCTTACGTCGTTTAACGTTGTGGACGCACGTCCTTTACATTTGTATTTTACCTCTTTTTCACAATTCCAATAAAATAGATCATTTCTATTCTTATCTTTAACCATCAAATATCCTTTAGCAGCTACCTTTTTTCTGCCTTGTTGTGGAGGGACAATATTACATTCTTCCATCCTTTTTTTACTAGTGTAATACATAAAATAATAAAATACGCACGGAAACTGCGTTCATATTCCACGACTCTAAATGTACGCAATCGGGAAAAAGCAATCGAGTGCCCGCTGTCGTGAAATAAAATATTGTTCGATAAGATGAAATATAAAATATTATGTAAAAACGCACGGAACACGATATACAAGTACTCATATTATGTGTGTGTCGAGCGTCCAACATAACTGGACGGCTTATCCGTAGGATTCCACATCGAATCGATTCTAATAATAAGTGACTTTAAGTTGGCTGCAATACACGCGGGCAAACGTGAATTTCCGTGACACGTGTCTTGGTCTATCCACTGAGTATGGGAATAATGAAGAAATAAATAAAAATCGTGAAGGTATTTGTTTAGTATTTATAATACATCATAGGTACCTCTACACATTGTTTCAAATATTTTTTTATGAATAGATTTTTAAAATAAAAATATAAATTGCACGGCATTATAATGATTACTGCTTTATATAATACTATTGTCGGTCGATTGTCCTGTCAGTCCTGTTGTCCTGTCGGCCGATCGTCTTTGTTAGTATTTTAGTTGTCGGTCGATTGGTTGTCGGCCCATCTCCCTACCGGAACATATCGCTAACGGATCTTACCATCACCGGGCGAATTAAGATGAAAATTAGAGAACATTAATTTGTATGATTTACGGTTGGATTTATCGATTTAAACGAACACGGTATAGACTACATTGTCGGTCTGACATATTATTAGAGACCGCGGTTTGTCTCTGGGACCACCATTTTTTTTTTTCTTCATTTCTCAGGAACAACAACTAGAAATTGACCGATTTCTGTGATTTTATTTCTAACGATTTTTTTTTTTTTTTTTCTATTCCCGGTACAATATCTATGATAATTTTATCATTATTGAATTTGAATCACACTGCCACACTAGTATCGACTGTAAAAAAAAATCCGAAAGACATCTAACAAATATTTTTGTCAAATAGAAACCTATTTCACATAGGAACAACGTGATTGGTTGTTGTTTGCAGACAAAACCGTATAAAAAGTACACATCATAGTAGAACAATACAGATATACATGTCTCGCTCCGCTCAGAATCAAAAATGATTATGCTGCAGTTGTATTTCCTGAGTAGGTAAGTGTTATCCGTATAATATTTTATTTTATGATATTGGAGTATATCATACCATTTGTTACAATTTATTTTATTTGTTTATTTATAGTATATTTAATCTATGATTATATCTAGTGAAAACGTACGTCCCTTACTTATATACAGGGCGATATATTTATCATAAACCGGCGATTTTCTCGGGGGATTTTAAGTAAAGTGGATTTCTGTATTTTGTTTTTTTCAATCATTTTGGAATCGTTTAAACTTCATTTCAAAACTTCATCAATTTTATACCTCTACCCTTTAAACGAGTACACATTTTTGATTTTCAAATAAATCTCCCCCGCCACCATTTTCAACACGGGTATTCTAATAGAGAATATTTTTAGAATAAAAAAAATTATCCATTCGAATCTGTGTCTAAAAGGGAGGGGAGTCTTGTTTTAAAATCAAAAGTGCGGATAGGCACTCATTTCAAGGTATAAGAAGTAAAAGGTAAAACAATTAATCTTAAGCGATCCCATTATGTGCTCAGTCAGGGAGAGCTAAAGAGGCTATAGCCCCGTCCGCGGGCCGGGTTTATTTATGCATACTATTTTACGATTTGAATGTTAACTACGCTTCTATAGCTATTTGTTTCGTTATTTATAACGTTTTATCCACTGGACCGTATGAAATCGATTTAAAGTGGAGCAATAGGCCAGAAAATACACTCAATTGAATAGACATGGCTAGTATAAATACGAAAGAAGACATTTATGAAATACTGAATGTAATACCGAACTGGCTTAAAATTCTCTTCGGGGCATACGCGCCGAGACACATATTATAATCTCGTCTTCAGTATTGCATTTTTGTTTAAAAACGTGTTCGTTTAGAGTATCACATTAAATTACGCACGTATCGAAACTATTTTTTCTAAATTTGTTGGCGGACCGATGTTTCGAGCAAAAACGTTTTTAGCCACCCCTTAATTCGAAATCCCGACTACGCCGTTCCATTGTACGCCATTCAACAACGACTGAAAATAAACAAAAACAAAACAGAAATCAAATTCGTAAACGCACCGCCGCGTATATTGAAATCTCCGGAACCGCCGAGCATTTATTTTTGTAATAAAAAAAAAAAAATAATAATAATAATAATAATTTTATCCAAATTACTGTACCGAAGAGATACGCGACAATAATATTACGTTTCGGTAACATAACTAGGTACGTATAACTAATGTCGTACAACTGTTTTTTTCACGCGCTTCACGCATACAACACGTAAATATCGAATAATATATAACAATATTGTCAATAGCGGCCGCGGAAGTTTATTTTACGGCACGTGTATATACGCCCGCCGCGACCGGTGTGGGAGGGAGGACAGGAGTAATGAAATGTCGTCTCTGTACAGCCGTTTAAAAATGTACAAGGCCACACTTCCGCGCAATACCATAACAGGCACTGTACAAACATAGCGGGTATAAAAGTGTCTGTGTTGTACAGTGATGGGATTCTGAACTCTGGCGACAAGAATCGGTTCACCCCGAATGTTTGATGATAAAAAAAATATCAATAAAACCGCTGTTATTATAACAAGGGCGTAAGGGGACCGTTGAAATTAGAGTGTTCGGTCGAGACGGCTATAAACATATCGGGTATTATAGGTATCGATAACAACAACGAGCGGTGCGGATTGTGGCGAGTCCAACTCCGACTGGCCAACTCTCGACAAGTTCCAAACGTTCATTTAAACTAAACGAGTCTCGTTATGACAAACCGCCGTGAGTTTAGAAGTATTACTTCTGTAAGGAAATTAAGATTAGGTTAGTGTTATAGGTTATTGGAAAACGGAAACCCGCAATATTATCGGCAATATTTTTGAATAGTATGGACGGTAAAATAAAACATATTATTAAAACGATTAAAAAATTGATTGTAAAAGCTTACACCACTGCGAATTACGTTAATAAATCATTCAACCGATCGAATGATTAGGATACCTGGCACTCACCCAGGAGGCTCGGGTTCGATTACCGATACCGGAATATTTTTTTTTCTTTATGTACGTGATAATACATTTTAAAAATAGCCCTACGTTATAGTTATTTTGCCGTCATTCCGCACACAAAGATACGAATCCGGTATGGTCTAGTGGCTAGGATACCTGGCTTTCACCCAGGAGGCTCGGGTTCGATTCCCGGTACCGGAAAAATATTTTTGCAAAAATATTCCCGAACTTAGAAATCATTTCAATTTTTTTTTTTTTTCACATTTTCATTTTTACATTTCATCACAGCGTTCATTTTTATGTGAAAGAATAGCATACTGTGAAAATATAGACATATTTTCTAAATTCAAATTAATATCCCCGAACAATGGTTTTTATTTCAATTGAATTGGATTTATTTATCACACTCGGTTTTTTTTTACTCGTAAATCAGTAAACACTTTAATTTATGCTACAGAATAACACGGACGTTATTGTGGTAACATAAACGATTATATTTATATAAATAAAACAAAGTCGAGTTAGTTACACCATTTATTTACTCGCTGGACCGATTTTGACGATCTCTGATTTGTGGCATTCGTCTCCGCCCCGAACAGCCGGAATAACTATAAAAATATCGGAAAGATTCGCGTGAGAAAAAATGTTTAAGGGCTTTTAGGTGTATTCGGTACGGATATCTAATGGCCTATTTATTCATTCTTGTCTATCCGAGAGTCGCCGCGGAAAAGTAAAACTATTACAACTGTTGTTGTCACTGTTATTTGCGCTATTGAAACGTCACCACGGAACACATTTGGTCCGCCGAAGGTGGACCGCTCACTTTCCACCTATTTGTTTTCATTCGGTCCTGACACGGCCAAAAACCCGAAGTGCACAGCCGCGGGCAAAAAAACCAATGATAAAAATTGGCGCGGGCGACGCCGGGCCCGGGACAGTCGGCACTCGTACGTTATGACGTACGCCGCTGTGCGACTACACGGAAAACTCAATAACTAATAACTATTTAACTGTACGAACTGTTGGACTTTTCTCATTAGATGGCTCGTCTACACACCGAACACTCGCGTTTGAAAAATCAAAATTCGGCAAGGCGACAACAGTGTCCCGTGAATTCGCCCCGCGTTTCAATAACGTAATAGACAATGAAATAAACAATAGACGGACAGATTCCAGAACAAAATGTCCTATTTCGGCGCGGGAGAAAAATGTCAAGTAGTTCCGAAAGGACAACAAATAATAATGTTTGTGAGAGTTTCGTCTGTAATTATTTTTCAAAAACCGCTTGGAAAATCAAAACATGACCCCGTTCGACACGCCAGCTAAATAAAATTTCCTTCCGGAAAAGGCGCTACACTTAGTACGTTGCAGGAAGTTTTCTTTTCGAAAAGTCGTTGACAAAGAGGAACAAACAGAGACGCGCGTCATAGTAAGACCAATACGCCCCGCTTCGGATCTGAAACACGGTTAAATGCGTTTTGGGTCAAGTTGGGTCGACTTTCGAGGGGTCATTTTTCGACTTTCTCGGGAGTTTGTCCCGGAAAAAACCGGGATAAAACACGGGAACAAACCGGGGGGGGGGGAACGTCGGAACATCGAATTTCGACAAGCGTCTACGAATCGGTAATTTATTGGTCACGTGTATTTATTCGGCAATAGGCCAGTGGAACTCCACGCGTCTACAATCGTCTTAACGTCGCGCGTTCTATGTTTAAAAACGCTAAAGCAACGGCGGGGGGGCGAGGATCACCCGACCCCTCCGCCGGCTGTGCTACAGACGCCCTACGTCGGGGCCCTTCGTCCGAAACCCCGGCCGTTAGAAAGGCAGAAATACGATCGCGAACGGTCCGTACCTTTTTTTTTTTTTTTAGACCCGTTCGACTGTACATTTACCGATTGAGAACGCTCGGCGTTCGTAATTCCGCGCGACCCCGCCGCCGCCACGCGCGTGGTAATCCGAAAATCCGGCCGCTCGAAATGTGTACACATTTCTCGTGCCGCAATCGAGTCTGATGATTTTCGGGTGTCCGCTGTCGTTTGAGACGGTCGATAACGATGACCCGCATAAATACAACGATAACGGATCGTTCGAAACGCCATAATCAAAGTGTACGCATTACTAGCGCATTGCTCTCGTGCGCCGCGTTAACGGAAAATCACCGCGAGTCCGATTTTTTTAAACCTTTTGAACGCGGCGGACGCGATTTTAATTCTCCGTCTAATGATTCCGTTCCGCAGCAACGAAAAATCATAAAATACGGCGAACGGCGGAGGGGTCGCGGGCCCCGTATGATCCTTCCCCCCCCTCTCCCACTACCGGGTAAGGTTCATCGAGTAAAACGTCCATGACAAATGAAAGTAATCGTTTAATTCGTCACGATAAAATGTAATTATCAATCGATGTAAATCTAATTTATAAATTAAAGTTATAAATAAAATAAAATATCAGATAAATATTGAACACAGAACAGTACAGATTTTTTAAATATTATTTAATACACGTTATTTTATTTCTTTAAAAAAAAAAAAAAAAAAAAAAAAAAAAAAAAAATAGACATTAATTCAAATAACTTATGTATCAATATTTTTCGTTTTGTTATTTTCAAACAAATATTTTTATGATCACCGACCTTACAAACTTATTCTACAAAATGTATGTTTAATATATTAATTTTCATAATTCAAATTAATAAAATAATAAAATACATTTCTAATAATTATTATTGTTAAGTACACGAATCAAATTTACATTAGTCTTTTCTACTAAAGGAACACTATGTATCAAAAATATGGTCTGTATAAAAGTTCATCAAAAAGTAAAAAGTACATTCAGTCGCTAATGAAAAAAATATGTTATATAAAAATATATATATATGTATATTTTTTTTTATTGAAAAACAATTGTAAAACTTATGTATTTAAACAGCCCTGTTAACTATTAGTTACTTAAAAGTTTTCTCGTTTTCTTACTATCAAACATGATAACATTTAAATACAGGTAAAAGATAAAAAAATTAATTTGATCATTTTCATTTCAAAAAAATAATAAAAATGTAATACATCGTAATTCATTTGGGTTGATTATTAAAAACAAGTACAAAAACAATTTACTCGTGTCTATTCTATTTTAACTAAAGTATAGAGAACATCATACTTGTATCAACTGTCTCGGTCCGACTAATATATAACATTGACATATTATATTACTTAGAACATAAATTGTAGTTTTTATGTTAAATTTGGAGTTTAAACAAAATTTTAAGCGAAGAATATTTTTCTAAAAAGTTGCGCCACAAAAGTGTTACATGTATATAAATTTTTACTTTTTTAAAAAAGCTATAACTTTTGTACACGGCAATTTTCTTTTAGAAAAAGCCAGTCCTTGAAATTATTGTTATCTGTAAAATCTAATTTCAACCTAATCATTAAAATTTATGATTCAAGGCCAAGATCGCATTGACAAGCGGGTAGTGTACTTAAGCGACGCAATCGGGATTTTATTTCAAAATCACTCGTCCCATAGCTTTAGTATCGTCAGTTGCTTTCCAATGTGAACCTAGCCCATGTAGCAGTACTGAGACGATTGATGCAAGTGTAGTGTCCACTTCATATACTTATAATGATACTGCAATAGGCAAATGATTCTCGATCAACTTATAAGCTTTGATAGTTTAGATTATTAGTGAAACATTAGACTAATTTTATAAAATAAGACTTAGGTAATTACTTATTAAATAAGGACAGTTAAATGTCTAGTCGAAATAGGCGATCGCAATGGATAAATTAATTTAAATAATTAATAAAATGTAATTTACAAAACAAAATCATTTAATTTAAATTTTAAACAGTAGTTACAACTGTATATTAAGAAAACAATGCGTCATTCAAATATAAGAAGCATATCAATTTAAACATTGTATTTGTGTAAAATAAAAAAATTGTATTTATTTTTAATAATCACAGTTAATAGTTACCAATAATTTAAGATATTGGAAAAAAAAAAAAAATTATATTTATACAAAAATAATATCCATCCAACAAATTGAACAGTATATAAGTACATAAATAATGTTGTGACCAAAAGGAAAGTAAAAGAAAAATAAATTAACAATAACAGAGTATTCATATACACCATTAATGGGAAATACTTAAATAAAACAAAATGCGATAATTGAAATGAAATTAAAAACAATAACATAAACCAAAATGTTTGAAATTATTTTAAACAATAAGGTGAACGAAAAAGTTTTCATAACTGTGCAATTATATTGTAACAAATAACAAAATTATGGGAAACATAAATAAAACTTAAAAATAAAAATCATTAATTAGTACTAATATAAGGTAACACAATTTTGAAATCAGCGTTATACAATGTATTGTCCACAGTTTTTAAACTTTTCTTCGTTTTTTCATCATCGCTTTTTCTCTTCGTATATCAGCTAAATCTTCCAAGAGACCTATTAAAAAACAAATAACATTCACTGATAAGATAATATTATTAGTTAAATGTGCAAGTTAAATTCATTTTTTTTTATATCATTTTTGTTAAATCGTCCAAAAAAAATAATAGATAATTTCATTGATGTGGTAGGTGCATAAAAATATTTTAAAAAAAACCACTAATATATCTTACCGGCTCTACTACTTCGATATTCTTCTTTTTGAAGAGTACGGAAATCAGATTCCATACATTCATCGTCATCATCTATTTCTCTATATCTGAAAATAAAAAAATATAACATTATCAACATTCTTAAAATATCAAATAATAATAAAATATATAATTTACTTTGATTTGTCATATTTGAAAATTTCTGAAATAACTTTAGAATAATCTTCCTCATCTTCAGGTCCGTCATCGATAAAATCTGCTAAATCAGAATCGTACTCGTCGGAATCAGATTCAATAACTCGACGTTTATTACGCATAGGCATATTTCGATCATCACGCCTTCGCATATCGGAAGGTGGAAATTGTCTAGGTGCCAAATCTCGAGGAGGAAATTGCTTGGGCACCATGTCTTTTGGAGGAAATTGCTTGCGCACCATATCTCTAGGAGGGAACTGTTTCGGCGTCAAATCTTTAGGTGGGAATTGTTTGGGCTTCATATTGTTATTGCTAGATGGCAATTTTCTAGATTTATCAACAGGTGATGGAATGTATTTGTTCTTGGAACTAATAGGTTTCGAATTAGATGTCATTGGTTTAGGGCTATATTTTTCATGTGAACGTTTAACCGCACTGGGTGTATATTCTGCATAAGTTGTACTCTTTGCCTTAGGCACATATCTATCCGGATGAACTGCACTTTTATGTTTAGGTGAACATTTTTCACCATTTGATAATTTAGCTCTTGATGAATATTTTTCATCGTTTGATATTTTAGGTTTAGGTACATATTTTTCAGTGGAACTTGAAGATTTTGACAAATATTTATCCTGTGGCATTGAATTCTTGGGTTTCAGTGTATACTTCTCAATTGATGAGCTATTTGAGTTAGACACATATCCGTCATTGTTATTAGAGGTACTTCTAGATTTTGGAGAGTACTTCTCAATTGATGAGCTACTCGATTTAGGCACATATTCGTCAGTGTTATTGGGGATATTTCTAGGTTTTGGCAAATAATTATCTTGAGCGGGATTTTTGGCTTTAGGTATATATTTATCAGAATTCGATTTCGGTTTTGGTAAATATGGATCTTCGTTAGAACTATATTTTTTATCATTCTGCGAATAATGTTTTTCTGAAAAACTACCTTTAGATAATGAAGCTCTATTTATAGAATTTGTTTTGTTACCTATACTCTCAGAACCATTCAATGGCCTAGGTATATATTTATCACTTTTACTATTATTATTATTGAGTTCTTTATGTATTTTTAAATCTTTAGACCACACTGATGAATTCTTTTTCAGTTTTTCCTCAGCGTGTATATCAGGCCTTGAAGAAGAAGCAATTTTAGGAATTGGTTTTTGAGCCTTTTCAACTACAGGTCTCACTTCCCCTTGTTTTTCAGTCGTAGGTATGCATTTGCCTTGTCGACGAGCATTTCTCATTGCTTCAATTTTTTTCTCTTCTAAATATTTTTCTCTTTCTTTCTTTGTCATCATGGGTACATTATCATCTTTTTTCTTAGGTTTTTCAATGACAATTGGTTCATATTGTTTCTTTTCAGCAATTTTAAGTAATTCCTGAAAATTTAATGGTGGTGGTTGCGCTGGTCTTTTTTTTGGTTTCTCTGAATGGTGGTCAGTTTTAGATTTTTGTTGTTGCGGCTCAGTATCACTATGATGTCCATCGCCATTGTTTAGATCCTTGGCTTTCCTTTTACGTTTATGTGGCAATAATTGATCTTCCTCTTCTTTCAATAATGCTGCCCTTACTCGGTCCTAAAATAAAGATATCATTAAATATTTAATATTCCAATACAACTACAATTTTACTCATTTTTCACAAAGTTTGACTATTTTAGATTCTAAGCGAAACAAGAAGTTATTTTTCAAAAATCTTTAAACTTTTCATAATAATGGGGGAAAACTGGAAAAAAGTTAAGATAAATAGGATTATTAACACAATAGCAATTTCATTTTCAGTTTTAATTTATAAAAAAATAATAATCCATGTCTGATCAAAATTGTTTTTTTATTTACAATGATTTATCTAAATTCATCATTGCATACGGTATATAAATTAAATTACTTTATAGATCCTAAATTCCAAACTTCCCACCAATTTTATATTATATTTACATACTTTTGCACCAGAAATATCGCTGCTTCTATGATGATTAATTGTTGCGTTTCTAGACTCTGCTGGTGTATTTACATATTTGTTCATTATCTTGTTATAAATTTCCATGGCATCTTTAGAAACATAACCATAGTCATCTTCATCCGGTTGATGAAATCCTATAGGTAATCAACAAAACGTGTATATATATATATATATTTGTATGAGATTAAAATTTGAAACATTTTTAGTAAATGTTTTATATTATATATATAAAACTCAAACATTTGTAATATTTTTGAACACATACCTATTTATTTCATGAACATTTATAATAAAATTATAATATATATAATATTTAAAAAAAATTATTACATTTAAATTTTAAGAAAAATACCTATATGTACAGTAAAACCTCTTCATAACGGAATCGCTCGGTACCGGTTGATTTTTTTCGTTATATGAAAATTAAAATGTACAGGATATAGATAATGCAAAACCGTTGATGTTTTCTGTTTAAAGGAGATTTTTCCCTAATAGGAAGTCCATTATAAGAATGGTTTACAGTACTTACGTACTATAATAGATTTTAAAATTGTACCGATAACTTATTTACAAGGGCTGTGAATTGAATTCACTAAAAAAATCATTTAATACGTTAAAAATAGATGAAATGTACATTAAAAACATGCTTTTAAAATTCTAAAAAATTTGAAATAAACACACTAATTTTTCAAAAACTAAAAATGGGTAACTAAATTATTTTAAATTCATTCTATTGACTCGTAAATATTATAGGCAAATATGTGTAATTTATTGTTACGTGACTTATTGCAATGCTCAGTAAAAGAAAATAATAACTATATAAATAGGTACTGATTAAAAATGTCTTCAAAAATATGTCATATAGACAAGAATATTAAGAAAAAAAAAAAATCATTAACACGAAAAATGCATGTAATCATGCATTTATATTATTGAATTATATCCTTTAACGAGATAAATATTTCAAAATAAGATTTTGCATTGAATTTATAGGTAAAAACAAAACCCAAATTTTGTCGAATCAGTTTGCTTATACAATGTAGCAACAAAAAATATAAAAACACATTAAGTTCTCAGCCCTGCATTACAATTAGCTATAAAAAATTGTAATAATTACTATTTATAGTATTGTTTATTGCATTGAAAATCATAAAAAATTATGGATGAATTATTAAATATGTATTTCCAGACTATAAAGAAAATGATCGCATTTCAATCATACTATATGTCAGATAATCTTGTTTTCTAAGAAAGTTATTGCCATTTTTATGGCAAATGAAGAAAATAAAGTATAATATTTAGCGTTTTTTTTTTGTTCAAACTAGCTATGATCTTGATACCTACCTATATTTATTACAAAAATCATGAATAAATATTATATTTTTCTTAGACAGGTTTTAAAATAAATAATATAAAAAATATATTAGTTGAAATGTATTCAGGTAACATACATTCAAAAAAATATTACTCATATAATATTGGCTACATTTTCATAATAATAAAATATTGCAACACACCTGCCATGGTAACAGATGTATTAATATCATCTTTAGCATCTTCAATAACAGATTTATTCGCTGATTTAGTCCTGTTCAACATGGACTGTACTCGTTTAAACGATTTTCTATCTTGACTGCGCAACGATAACAGTTCATCTTTTTTCTTTTGTTCTTCCAACTGTTTTTGACGATCTTCTTCATCTCTCTTTGCTAAGAACTTTTTAATACCCTCGGACAACTGTTTACTTTCTTTTGTTTCTTTTTTCGGCGGGTCCAATGATGCTTTGAAATATCTAACCTGATGAACGAAAAGAAAAAAATGTAATACCTAAATTATTTTCAATTTTGTCGACAACATCTGTTCGGGCAGGAGAATATGAAATCATATGTATATTGAGTTATCAAGTCCAATTGATAATTATATATATATATATATATATATATGTGTGTATCAATTTTAAGGCAATTGTAATCAGGTTGTAAAACGTAGGAGCCTACGAAAATATTTCATATCAACGCGAACCTAACGGACACTAAATAAAATATTGTACTCACGTCTTTTTCTCTGTTGTTGTTTTTCTGCGCCTTATACAGTAAGGTGTGAAAATCCATTATTGAAATGTCTGCAATAACGGCCCAATGATATTATATTCGATACATAGGTACATTCGTCCTAAATACCTAATTGAAAGAAAACATTAACTATGACAACAATAAATAATCGTATTTTGTGGATAGATTCAGCGTTGTCCATCCACACAACATACGTGAGATAACTCTAAAACAATATAATACACAAATAACACACTAAAACTAAATTACTTTCACTATAATATTTCAAGAGACTAGAAAATAAAACGATCTGGATCGACAAATGACACGATACTGATATGATATTGTGGGTTGTAAAAATCAAAAAGATTTCTCACACCATATTATTCATTATTACGCGTATGTACGCCACATGACATGTTCAAAAAATTATCAAAACAGCTGTTGTTTATCACCATGGTCATAAAAACACCGATAAAACCATACCGTGAACATAAATACTGTAACCATACCATATCTCTTATCAGTTATTATCATTTATTTTTCGATCTTATCTTGTAGGTTATGGCCGTGGTCTTGGTAAATAATTTTCGAAAAATAATGCTTAACGCAGTCGTTTTAAACGTTCAAATTTCAAGTCGATTGTGTTCAAACTAATTGTCAACCTATTGAACCTGTTTCTTTTCAGAATTAGACCTTCAACATTAAACGACAATGAAACCGATCGGAAGTTGTTTCGCTGTCGGTTTCCGTTTGGCTGCATGCAGTGCCACTGCCAGACGAACGTTCGTGTCCGAGGTAAAAAAATCAAAACCAAAAATGTCACTGTTGGATAGCATTAAACCGAATGATCGTAGTGGAATTTTATCGGCTGTTGAAAAAGATAGCCATGGATTCCCTTCGTATATCACACTCAAAGACTCTAGTCCTATACTGAGGTTAGCGTTGGAAATATATTCAAATACTGCAGCTATTTAATAGTATTTCTGTAGTTTGTGCACAAAAAGACTTTAATTTTTTTTAAATAATCTATTATTTTATTGATTTTTAGCCAAGCTATAATGGCCGTGAAAAACAAAAAAATGCGCCAGAAAAACGCCTACATACTTGTGGAGGGAAAACGTTTAATACAAGACGCGTTGAACGCTGGTGTTAAGCCAAAACAGATATTCTTTAGTCAGAAGAGAGTATTAGAGCAATTGTGTTTGCCTGAGAAACTAAGAGATCTTTCAGTTTCAGATACAATATTTTATCATACTCCATACAAAATGATTCAATTGTTTTCAGACATTGAGACTTCTCAGGGAATTATGGGTATGTCAAAATGGGTGAAACTAATAGTAAAAAAAAAAAAAAAAAAACGCTAAATTATAATTTACATATTTATAGGTATTTTTGAAACGCCTGTTTTTGACTTCAGAGCAAGAAAAAATGCATTTCCGATTACAGTAATTTGTGACAATATCCGCGATCCTGGTAATTTAGGTGCAGTTTTAAGAACTGTGACAGCAGTTGGGATATCACAAATTATTTTAATGAAAGGTATTAATAATAATAATTTTGTTTGAAATATACTTAAAATGATATATTTGAAACCATGTTTGTAGGTTGTACAGATCTATGGGGAAGTAAAGTTTTGAGAGCAGGTTGTGGTGCTCATTTCAGAATGAAAATAATATCAAATGTGAGCTGGAATAAATTAGAAAATTTCAAGGGTTTAGTGTGTTTAGCTGATAATAATGAGTATAATAATAGTGATCCTTCAAACATCTCTGACAAAGAAATAAATGTTTTTAGGAAAACTGCTTCTATTAAATTACCAATAGTTCCTTATTACGAAGTCGATTACTGTAAAACCACTCCTTTAATACTCGTGATTGGTGGCGAAACGCACGGTTTGAGTAAAGAAGGGTATGAATTTGCCAGTACTCATCATGGTATTCGCTTAAACATTCCTCTTTTAAACGGAATCGAAAGTTTAAATTCAGCGACGGCTATTGGTATATTATGTTATGAAGCCAGAAAGCAAATGTTAAACTTAATAAGATGTCCAGAGGAAACTGATGAGATTGAAAACTGAGATTATAATTATTATGTTAAACTTGTAGAAAATATTTTGTATCGAGCATTATTATACGTGTAAATAAAGAAAGAAGAATTTGTTTTTGATTCAATATTTGTAAACTTTGAAACCTCACGTTGTAATACAGCCTACACACAGTTGTCACGTCAATAAATTCAGGATTGGTTTATGAAGGTTGACGAGGGACTAGGGGACTCACGGTGAGTATTTAAAGTAAATAACTATAATTATATGTACTAAATAATATGAAGTTGATTATGTATCATAACTAAGTTATAGTTGTATTTATAATTTGATTGGAGAAATGTATTTACTAATTGACTATATGAAATGGTAAGTAAATTTAAATCATAGTCCATTCTAAAAATAGTCACATACATTCATAAAAAAAAGTATAATACATTTTTACCGCATGAAACAATTATTATATGTTAACAAGGCACTATACTAGATCTGAACAAATATGTTTCAGGTGGGTAACAACATCACAATCAATAAAATTGGTTAAATAATATTGCTCTTTAAGATAGATTGTTCTTAAAAAGTTGGTTTAACTGTTCGAAATTGATTCTTATTAAAAATGTTTATACAATTCTATCTACTATTGTGCCACACGACATAAACAAGTGAAACACAAATTCAAACAGTAAAACAAATATACAGCCGGTAGATTGAAATAATATTTTTCATTCACGATTTGTAAAATTGAATTCTATTGAAATGGTAATATTTGTTTTGTTTTTGTTCATACTTGAAACAATATAGATGGTTTAAGTTGGACTGTTGACATATTATTATATCATTTTGAAAATTAAACATACTCCTGACCAATCAAATATCGGGAAATCGGTCCTGTACACGGGCGACCATATGTGAAATTTCGGTGAGAGGCAAAATAAAAAAAAAATTTCAAAATTTACCTATGCTCAATAATGTTTAAAATTTCGATGTATTGAAATTGCTATATTATTTTTCAGGTCAATTGTGATCCATATTGTCTATCCTTCCCCCCCCCATCCCACGTTATTTTATGATCCCAAAATAAACTGTTTTAATACGAAATATTAGGTTCGTTTTTTTCGCATACCTAAATTTTTTAAAGATATAGACAAATTATGACTTCTTAGAACCAGTGTTGAATTCAGAGAATTTCTTTGGAAAGGGCTCATTTTTTTTTTCATTGGTCATTTCAATGTAAATTGAAAAGAGTAACGAGTACCTACTGTACATTCAATAAATACATTTTGTTGACAGTTATTGTATTTTTCAGGGGGCGAATAAAATTCTGGACGGGGCATACATGGATTTAATAATATCACATATAATATAAAACGTTTTAAGGGATTCTTATTATTGATATTAGATAGAGTAAATATTTTCACAAAACCGAAATGTGGCTTAAATTACCAAACGCTGAAAAGTTATTTTTTCTTACCATTCTTTATATTAACTTACTCGCAAAAAAGTTTAAAATTCACGATCGATTTTTCATCCACTTTCCATGGTCAGATCATCAACTTGAAGTTTTGCAAGCGCTCATACTTTGGACGGCAATACAATAATTAATAATTAGCAGTACCGTGCCTACAACAAAATCGGCACCCGGTGCCAGAAAAATTTAACAACAATGAGCAAAAATAAAAGCCCAATCCGTTCGTCGGGCGTTCACCCATACGTTTATTATAAGTGAACTCAATTGCAGAGCTTTTCAAATAACGCCCGTCCGTGAGCACCTCTCGCACCCTCGTATGGGTAATAATAATCGGATCTTTTTCATCTTTCGGCCCCTTAAAATTGGTGTACACCTTATACGGCTGTTGGGAAAACATTTCAAAATATCGAAAAATGCCTCATAATAATGAGATCCTTTTTTTTATACTCGTTAAATTTCAATGGTGTTCGTCGGACTATAAACTATAGTCTTGAACGGGCACGGGATCATATATTATGAATTGTAATACGCAGGTCGAACAACCGTCGACATTTGTGGTAAATGTCGAGACGGCGCGCAACGGGTACAAATACACAGTGCAAAGAAAACCGTGCAAGCGTTTCTAAAGTATAAACGGCCGAAGAACAAACGAAATCGATTGGAAAACGATAAATAATCAACAATAAACTAGCCTCGCACCAGTAGACTAACGGTCAACTCTACCGGTTTCCCCGGCCGCCGCCAAAGTCCACGAAACGCGAGAGAAAAAAAAAACAAACCGGAGAGTTACTCGTATTTTTCGGATTTCCGCGGTACTTTCGCCTTTTTCAAGGGATATTTTAACGGCCGCTTCGGCAGCCCCTTTCTAATAAAACGCCTCGTGTACCCCGGGTCTTCCGTGTATTTTTACTACCCGCTGTAATAAACTATTCGAGGAATGGGTATGTATTGATAGCTACTCTTTTTTTTTTTTTTTTCTTCTTGAAATATCGAATTTTCATAAACTTTCCCTCGACATTTATTTAGCAAGACGTACAGTTTTTAAACCACATCAGTCCCGTCTGGCGTTTTCCGCGCCAGTTTTATTGCCCTCCTTTTTTGTTTACCCTTTAAAATCTGATTTTTTAAAACAAATCCATTCATAAACTCTGATCAATAAGAGGAATTCACGAAGTGTCTCGCCGTGTAAAACGATCGATGGGTTAGTTATACTCGTAATACTGTTTTTTTTTTTGTTATTGCGAGTCATAAACCAACGGAAATAATTAGATTTTCGTTACAAAAATGCCAAAATCCCCGTGTCGGCTACCTTTTAGATGTTTCATTTCGGATATCTGGTTTCGAAGGTTATATTTTCCTCTCCAACCTCTCCACGATCCGTTTGACCGCCTCTGGATCGCTTACAAATGAACAGACTCAATTCACCCTTCTTTTTGTTTGACCTTCACTATTTCGGTCATTATGAGAAGATATACGTAATTTATAATTTGGTAATTTTATTAATTATTATTATTATTTTTTTTTTCCACAATTCGATAAATCCGAATCGGGTATCGACTCGGTTGATTCTTCGGTCAATCGGTTATCGTCATAATATTATCGTTTGTTAAAATCATCTCGCTCCCCCTCCCCCCCCCCGCAACTCATAACCTGACCAATACATTTAAAACATTCATTGTAATAATAATTCGCACGCGGTCGTTTTGATTTCAGTATTTTACCCGCCGACACCCGATGTATCCGTGTCGATTGAATTGCCGCCATCGCGCACGACTCGGTAAAAATGCATTATTTTAACCGAATCGTTGTTCGTCAAGCGCGTGTATTATTATTTTTAAGTACGAGAAAATATGAAAAAAAAAAAATGTGTACAAACATTTTAATTTGTATGAATATTTTGTGTGATTGCACAGTACCCACTATGCAATTAATCACTTCAAAACGTCGCCGTATCTAATGATACTCATTCTGATGATGTTTACTCAGTAGATTCTTAAAAAAATATATATTTATACGTATTTCGCTGAAATACGCTCGGATGAATTCCAGCAAAAAGCCCTCGGAGCCAGTGTTTTAAACGCTATGACTCTAGGCACGTACCTGTATTATACGTTTCAAGTGTATTATTTTTTAAAACTATTGTTCAATTATTTTTTTTTTTTTTACCGCATCAATGCACCGTTACCAACGGGACAAGTGGACATTTTTCCTCCGCGAACCGAGTGACGATATTTTCTTTTTTTAACGGCATTACCTAAGGGTGTAGTCTTATTTCTACGTCAGTTTTTTTTTTCGTCATAATTTTCATGACGTGTTCCATGGTTCAGTTGAAATGGCTTCAGGAACAGCATTGTCTATAAAAATCAAAATTCAATAAAGAAAAATATAAATGTTTTTATAAAAATATAAACAATCTCGTAAATAGATTGAAAAAAAAAAAATGCCAACGGCACGTAGTGTTCCCAAGCGGTCACCCATCCNAGTACTAACTACGCCCGACGTTGCTTAACTTCAGTGATCGGACGAGAACTGGTGTATTCAACGTGGTATGGTCGTTGGCGATAAACGTCACCGTTATCAAGTTATTTAAACTTCTAATCACTTATGCGAACTATAATATTATTACAATAAACATTTTTGTTTTACTATGTAGATGCTTTAAGATTTCGAGTGTAGCGAATTGGTTTTACAAATATGTTTATTTTTTTTTTTATGCGAACACTTTTTTTACCAGAAAACTTACTCCCGTGTAGACCCTTTTATGAAAGGCAATATTCGTGGGATGGTTTTTCAAGCAGGTAATTTTTCGATTTTCTCAAGAGTTTTCTCGTCAAATGTGAAAAACCGGAAAATCGGTATAATATTTAACAAATATTATTGAAAAAAAAAAAATACATAATGGCCTATTTAATTATTTTACTATAATATGACATAAATATATATTGTTGACAAAGCATTATTATTAACTGAATTTCGCTCAGAATCGTTTTTTCGTAAGCAATGGTTTATTGTTGCTTACGGGTATACATTAAATTATCTATAACAGTGGCTGCACCCGTCCCCATTATCCTAAGACGTCTTTTTAATACTAAAAAGGTCTATTTTAAAAAGAATAAACTATAAATATCTATCTTCAAATTTTTCAAAAACAATAAATAAAAAGTTATATTTTTAAGTGTTTTACCAAAAGATAAAAAAAATCAATTGACATATAAATATTTATAATCTTTATCCCTAATAAAATAAAAAAAAAAAAAAAAAAAAAAAAAAAAAACAACATCATCGTTCGGGAACGATAACATAATATTATCGGGTATTGCAGTGAGCTCAGGGCCGACGCTCTGTGCCCGTGCGGTTTACTTAATGACGGTACCGCGCCGACGTCCGCTGGTGGTAAAATGATTGAGATGGATAGTAAAAAAAAAACATTTTAAAAACTCGTGTAACTGATTGCTTTATTTTACAACTCGTACGATTTCATAAAAAAAAAAAAAAAAACACACAAATAGAAAAACGGACCAGAGGTTCGTGCGCAGCAAGGGCCTGAACGTGAGACGGCGGCGACGATCTGGGACCTGTAACCGTTCTGTCTTGGGTGTACAACACGGCCCGTATACATGCGGATCGACCGGACGCCACGCGATTCCTGAAGATTTATTTAATAGGAGCGTAATGGAAAAAAAAAAAAAATAGATACAAAGCGCGTGTCGAGGTCCCCTGCGACAATCGGTTATTGTGTTATTGACGTAGGTATCGGCCCCCGGCGTGCTTGCAATTA